CCCCCCAACCCCCCCCATTATGCTCTAGACCACTGATGCCCACAGCATTTACCTACCATTTCCTCCTCTAGACATGCCTGGACATGAAGTCAGCATGTCCTGGGGGTGGCAAATGCATCTATTGTTCTGATAGCTTCCTCTACCTTCACACCTTCCCTACTGCCATGGCTACTCAGTGGGATTTGCCACATCCAGGAAGTGTACTCACCTTTCCTTCTGGCTGGCATCTTTTTGTATTTCTTCTAATTTTTTTTTTCTCATGTATTGGGAGCCTTGCTTCTTCATCTGTTTTATGAGCCACCTTGGAACGCAGCTCTGAAGTGGGACGCCCAGGGCTAGTTTCTTGAACTTCTTGTTGCCGCTTCCTGAGTCACTGGCACAGCTGTGGTATATTCATGTCCTGTATGTGCGCCTTCAGAACATATTCACTTTTTGTTTGTATCTTTTAAAAAATATTCACTTCCTGTTTGTGCTTTATAGGAAGTGTCTTTCATTTGTTTCCCGAATCCCTCCCACCCATTCCACTCTGGGAATGTGCTACTTCCTTTTTAGTGTTATGTCTCTTTCTTTGTAACTATCATCTTCCATGACCCGAGATCTCCTTCCTTCCTGGTTTCCTTCTTCCTTTCATTTCTCCCTTCCATCTTTCCTCCCTTCCTTCCTTTCTTTTAAATTCTCATTCTTAAAAGATGTTGGAGCTTTCTTTCTTTTTTTTTAAATTATAGGTCAGTTTCTCTATAAACATTGCTTTTCTTCTGAAGAAGTCTCTCTCCTTTCTTATTTCTAGTTGTGTATAATTTATAAAACAAATTCCTCATATATTATTTATGTTAAATTGGCTTCCACTGTTTTCTGATCATTTTGAAGGGGGTTAAACATGATTTACAGCTTGTCCACTGTCCATCCTTTTTAAATCTTGAGAGGTATATCTCTATGTGCAACAGGTATAGGATTCCAGGAGCAATACTGAATCACAGGTCATGTGAGAACACTGAAGCCCAGGGTTCCCTGAGGGCTAGAAGGTTCCCTCTGAACTACCAGAGCTGAGAATGTGCCTGGGTGTGTAACTGTAAGATGCAGCCCCTGGTTATTGCCTCAAGTCTCCAAATGCCTTTTCCTTCCTTTTCTCAGCAATTCACGACAACCTCCGTTACCAACTTACTGATGATGAAGAGGCGAAAGAGATGCTCAACTTCCAGTTAAGCTATGAACAAGGTAATTATGACGTGATAGAAACTCGTTTTCTCATCTACCAAGAGCAAAGCAGATGAGAGATCAGGGAACTGAGCTGCTAAGTGAAGAGTGTACCCTGAGGAAGGGATGCAGAAAGAGATGGGGAAGCCAGAGCGGTGGTGTGTTGTGGGTTTCCAATTAACCAGCCCAATGTAGAACCCAAGAACATTGCCAGGCAGGTATAGCAACTAAGAAGATGGAACATGACCCAAGAGAGAAGATCTCACTGTGACCATGAGGCATAGTTAAGGGGAAGAACTGACGTTAGTAACTTTGAGTTGGGAATTCAGTGGATCTGAGAAAGAGTAAGGGTTGGATCTTATGTAACAAGTCCAAAGAGGGAGCCCTTGGTGTGTCAAAAGAAGGAACTGAAATATGACTCATAATAAAAGTAAAGAGAGGAAGAGAATGAGTAGTAATTGTGCGTAGAAGAGAATGTGGAAGGAGTGGTACTGTGTAGAAAAGAAAGAGAGGACAAAGAAAATGAGTGAAAAGGAGAGAAAAAAGTAGAGAGCAATCAACAATGATGATAGTAACACCTAACTTTCATGGACCACTAGGCATATGGTCTGTACTTTACGTGGATCAATTCATTTCATTTAATTCTCATATATGAACTATGTACCATTGTAGCCAATAACCACTGATTCTAACTTTTCAATCATCTTTTCATTCATATTATTACTAATAATTAGTCATTCAATTATAACATATAAGACATTAATACTGAAAACTGTGATCTCTGGCAAAGTTCCTATAACCCAGATACCTTGTTACAAGTAGCATCTCACTTAATTCACATAACAACTTTATCAAAAGAGTTTTGTTATTCCCACTTTTCAGGAGAAAAAACTGAGGTGTGAGGGAGGATAGTTAGTGATATGTGCGGTTCACGCAATTAGGAATCGGCTTATCTCAAACTCCAACCTTCTCCTCCACACCAGTGGAGAGCAAAGATTCTGAGGCCCCACTGAAAGGCTTCAAATCTTGGTTTTACCACTCACTTACTTGGGCAAATTACTTAATTTCTGTCCAATTTCCTCATCTATAAATCGGTATCTATATCTATATCTAAAATAAGGTTGTCATAAGAATTAAGGAACTTAATTTATGTGAAGCACTTATACTAATTGCTATATGCTTACTACTGTTATTATAATGTATATCTGACTCCACCAACTAGACATTTACTCAATGCTCTACCTTTTGAGATTTTTCTCCTCAGGCACCCACTAAAGAGAAAAATTATTTTCCAGACTAGAGTAGCAGTGAGTGAAATGGCCTTCAAGCCCATTCTTAGGCCAAATGGTCCATAATAAATTTCTTTATTTGTTATGTGTTGATTTTTGTTTTTACTTGGAAGTAGCCCACGTAAAAAAACCATAAGAATATAATCAGCCTTGTAGAATGCCATTAATATATATCCTTTAATTTGAAAGTACACCTTAGGTATTATACATTTTAAATGCATTAATGCATTTATATAAAATTTGGATGTATTTTAATCATCATACTCATTCTTTTGAATAAAGACAAATTGCTAAAAGTATAAAATGTATATTAAAACGTACAAAGTATATAAAAAATATATTTACAGATTCTCATATTAAAGGTGGGGGGAAGGAGAAGGGCAGTGGAAGTAATAGTAATAGTTACTAGCAAATAATAAAATAGGTTCATCATGAAGGGAAGGGAAAACATATTCTTCAACCTTTTTAATGTGATCCAGGTAACACCCTACCTAGAGCTAGAATCCCAGAGCATCTCAGTGATGGGCAACAGATGAGTACAAGAGGAGAAGGTTCATCTCATGGCCCAAATAATGCAGTGCAAACCCAGGAAATGACAAATGAATATACCCAAGAAGCTCAACAAGAAGGTAAGTTTGACGGACAGTCCAACATTGGCCTGGGTGGCTCTGAATGACTGTCACACATACGGGCAATAGGTAAGGGCTGTGTCATGTGTTCATAATTCAGAAAGGAGGCTCCAGGGAGCCATGAATGAAGGCAGAGGAGTAGACCAGAGTCTGAGGCAAGGAGACATTTATTTACCAAGAAAAGGTGTCCGGTTTCTGTGGCAAAGGGGAGAGAGGAGGAAACCACAAATAGACACAGAGAGTGGATGCTGAAATAGCATAGGTGTAGAGAGGGCTGGAAGGGAATATCTAGAGGCACAGGGGAGAGAACTGGAAGCCTCACTAGGGGAGAGAGAGGCAAAAACAAAAAGCGACAGCATCGTTCAAAAGAGAGATGCCCTCAGCATCAAGGATGCACAAACAGTTCCTAGGGCAGAGGCAGCAGTGAGGACATGAATAGAAGCAGAAATGTGGAAAATGAAGAGAAGTAGACTGAGCTGTAAAAAAGACTGAATCAGAGGCAGAACAAATGGAAAAATTAACCTTCACTCCTTCACACCATCCACAAAAAATAATTCAAGTTGGTTCACAAATCTAAAAGTCAAGGCAAAAACTATAGAGCTTCTAGAAGAAAACACAGGAGAGTATCTTTGCAATTTAGGTAAGCAATGATTTGTTATATAGGACAAAAAGTATGGGTCATAGGAGAAAAACTTGGCAAATTGGACTTTATCAAAATTAAAAACTTCTGCTTATCCAAAGATAGCATTAAGAAAAAAAAAGGCAAGTCCTAGACCGGGAGAAAATATTTGCAATACATATATCTGACAAAACATTGTACCCAGAATATATAAAGAACTCCTATAAACAAATAATAAAAAGACACACCACCAATTCAAAAATGGACAAAAGAGTTGAACAGGCACTTCACTGCAGAAGATACAAAATGGCCAATAAGAACATAACAATATGTACAATGTCATTAATCATCAAGGGAATGTAAATTTAAAACTATAACAGATTACCATTCATGCACTAGAATTGCTAAAATTAAAAAGACTTATACATACAATGCCTAAAGTTGATGAGACTATGGCACAGTTAGAACTCCTGTGTATATTTTTAATAGAAATGTAAGGTGATGCCACCACTTTGGAAAACTGGCTGTCTCTTATAAACTTAATCTAAACTACAACTCAGCATTTCACTCCTAGGTATCTGCTCATGAGAAATGAAGTTGTATGTGCACACAAAGATTTGTACATGAAGGTTTAGAGTAGCTATATTCCTAATAGCTAAAACCTGGAACCAAAGAAAATGCCCATCAACAGGGGACTTAATAAACTATGATATACAATATTTATAGAGTGGAATACCAATCAGCAATAAAAAGGAGTGAACTACTGGAATATGTGATAACCTGGATAAATCCCAAAAACTTTACGTTGAGCAAAAGAAGCCAATCATAAGAGTACATGCTGTGTGATCCAATTTGTATGAGCATGAATACAGGCAAGTATAGTACCAGAAAGGAAGGTCTCGTTAATGGTGATAGAAATAAAAAAAGTGGTTGCTTATAGTGGGTGGAAACTGACTGGAACACAAAGGCAAGGGGATTTCCAGGCATGGCGACAATGTTCCCAATCTTCACTGGGCTGATGGTCACACAATTGTTTTTCATTTAAGATATATACAACTCAGTAAAAAAGGTGAACAAGACTCTGTTGGGCCTCAGGTGGAGTCTTTGGTGCTTGAATATCAGAGTTCAGCTTGAGCACACAGAAGTGTCCTCTCTGGTCACTGAGTTCTGTCATTATTTGTCACCCTCTTTAGTGGGCCATGAACACTCACCTCTCCAAATGAATAATGTAAGAGGGTTTGAAGTTACAACCAGCTTACTGCCACATGAAGGTAACTATCATTTAACTTAGATTCTGTATTAAACCTTTGTTTTCTTGTCTTCATAGAAAAAGATTTGCATTGTGTCTCTGACCCTAGATCTCTGCTAACCCCACTTCTCCTATCTGCCCTTTCCTGCCACAGATATGAGATAGACTGTGAGAAAAGGAGTCTGAGCTCCTAGGTAGACAGAGTATTCACTGATGAAAAATATAAAAAGAGAAATTTGAAAAGGTAGACAGGGAGTAACATATGACAAGTTACATGAATGGATACAGTTTTTTAAAGGGAATATCAAATCCTACCATCCCAGGTTAGGATGGGGATCATTTTCAATTAATTTTATGTAACAATTAAAAGGAAGTTAGAAATAATGTGACAAGTCAGGATCATGTGGGGGACTTTCATTATGTAGCTGGCCAGTTGGAGTCAAAGTCCAAGAGGAGAGTTTTGGAGATGATGAGAGAGGGGAACCTGGAGGATATAATCACAGAGAGACAAAAGTTAAAATAATATTGGCAGACAGAAGGTTAAGGTAAAGTGGTAGAAACAGAGATGGAAAGAGAGCAAACGTAAGACACTGCAGAGAAGAGATAAGCTGAAAAATCTTTTAAGGATCAGAGATAAAAATTGAGAGAAGAACATATGGAAAAGAAGGATGGAGAGAAAATTAAATACTAAGAAATGGGGAAAGTCAGGGAGAGGTACAAAATCAACCATCTAGAGAAAGAGTTAAAAAAAGAAGGGATGGAAATAGGTTGAGAGTGAAAGAGGATAAAGGGGAAAAAGGAACAGATTGGGACACAGTAAGTCTGGGGTAAGAGAACTGGGTATAAGCATTTTTGGGCACAAGAGTTGACAACATTAGCTTGAGTTTTCAAATTAAACTGACCCTAATCATCAAAATGGCACTTGAAAAATGCTCAGATGGCAACAGACCTTTCCCTGAATATTCCAATGAGTCCTGAGACCAAATCTGCACCCAAATTATCTCAGAGTCCATTTACCCATTGACCGAGGTTGATAGAGAGCTAACTTGCATTTTTTTCAGGAACCTTAAACTTGGCACTTCTAGGCTGAAAACAGCATCTTCATTGCTCAAGCTAGACGTAATCCCTCCTTAGCAGTCTTCTCACAGTGAGGGGTCACAATTGTTCAATGGTTTTCCAAGTTGGAAACCTGGAACTCATCCATGACTTCTCTTGCCCTCAAATATATATCCCTGTTTCTCACTTAACATAGTCATTTCTCTTTCAAAATAACTTCCACCTGTCTTTCTGTCATATCCCCCGGGCCAAGTCTCTAATCCAGATCTCTGTCATGGTTCTCAGAGCAGCAGTCATCTGCTTATCTCCCCCCTCTAATCTTGCTCTCATGAAATGAGTTTTTGGCACTTCAAATGGATGGAACGTTTGAAAATGAAAATAAGATTGTATTATTTTCCTACTTATCTTATTAATAGACTAGGACTAAATAAAAGTTTCTTTCAGTGGCCTCCAAGGTCATCAACAATGAGCTACCTGGCTATTTCCCTAACTTTACCACTTGCCTCCTACACTACTCAAGATAGAATAAACTTTCTTTCCCAATAATTTTATTTGTTAAATTTCTGTTTTATATCTGCGCCTTCTCATATGCCTTGTTCAGAACAGTTTTTGTGTTCTACTATCCTCCAATTCCATCTCCACTCTGCTTAAATTCGGTTTAAAATTTACTATCTCAGTGTGAGGACTTTCTTTATGAAATGCAGAAAGAACAATTGAGAGACAGAAAAGGAGAGAAAGAGCAGTATCACAGGAAGCAAGAGAAAAAGTTGTAGGAACAGAGGAAACGAGAGAAGCCTAACAGGAAAGACACTCTAAGAGATGCCAGCAGAAAGAAACAGAGGCAGAGGTTGATAACAATGCACAGAAACAAATGGAAAGGGAAGACGTAGAAAGAGAACCAGGTGTAAGAAAAGGAAAACTTCCCCATGATGGTTGAATTGTTCTCTGCCTATAGCGAAAGCTACTGAAGCAAAGTTAACTTTCAGTCAGGTTGTTTGCAGAGTGGGGCATTCCAGTTTCTCAGGCTTTCTTGGTTTCTCATAATTTTCTTGCGGTGTTTTGTTTTGTTTTTCTTCATAAATTGAGATGTCCATGGGATTCCATTACGTTTTGAAGAGGATAGCATAGCCTGTTGTGAACCTTGTGATGGAGATGAGCCTCAGGAAGCATTGAGCTCCCCACCAAGTGGTGGGCCAGGTGAGGAAAGGGGGATTATCAGCCTTGGGTTGCAGGGTGTCAGGTGACGGAATTCAGAACTGGTGTTTCCTGATGCATTAAACTATGAACATCCTCCACTGTCAAAACAACCAGTGTGTCCTGGAAATCCATGTTCTTAAGTGCACATTCTAGTACAAATATGCCTGAGGAAGGGGATGTCTTTCACACCTATTAATAGTAAAGATTGGGACTTGCCATAATGAATGCAAGAGATCTAGAAAGAGCAAGAAAGAGAGCCTCAAGTAGGAAAAGTGATAAAGAGCAGTGAAGAAAAATGAAGAGGGAAAAGGCAGAGAGGGGGCCAGAGTCAAGGAGATGAGTTAATCCCTCGTGGCATAGAAGCCACAGTGTGTAGTAAGAAAGATGCGCAGGACAGAGGAGGTGACTGGGGGGAAACAGGAAGGAAAAGCGGTAGAACGAGGGTATAGGGATTAGGGGAACTCCTTGGAGCACCTGTACCATTTTCCCAAGAAGACGCTCTCCCAAGTGCTGAACACCAGAAATCGGCATGAGCGCTCTGAGGTCTTATAACGCAGGAGTTTGACTCCTGGCAGGCTCTTGGATTTGGTGAGGCTGAAAAAAGACATCGGAGCCATCGGTAAAACGTTCGTACCACAGTTCTATTCTTGAGGCAGTCGGTCGAGAGACAGGAAGCAGGATCTGTAAGATCTGCAAGATCCTCAAGATCCTCAGGATCCTCAAGATCCTCAAGATCCTCAAGATGCGCAAGATGCGCAAGATGCGCAAGATGCGCGATTGCTAACGTAGCCAGGGCGGTTATACAGCACACAGAACAATAGTGGCTGATTGCCAACTGGTTACACAAGAGGGGAGGGCGTTTCCAGGTGTTCTGCGCATGCGTGGGCTGCAAGCTGCGCTAGTACTTTTCCATGTGAGGCTGAGAGTCTGGAAACTGCTGTCTGGGACTCTGTCCCAACAGGTCTGTTCTATGGTTACCATGTCTGGTTGGTCATTTCTGCGTGATCACCAAGCTCTCGAAAGGACTAAGGGAGGCGATTCCAAAGACACACCCAAACTGCTACCAGGTGATAGGGGTGGGTAGTTAGGGTTTAAATGACTAATTACCTCCTTAAATCTATTTGTCTGTCTGTATGCAAGGGACACTTACCTTCCTTCTCCTCAACACAAATCACACCTTTTCTCTGCCTCTTGCCTGCTTTCCCCAGGTATGTGGGAGGCAGAGGGCAAAGGAGGGCTAAGTGCCTTAGTGAGGGGCCCCCTGGGTATAGAATTTGAGAACACAAAATAATGAAAATGTAGGTTGGGGGCACCAAATGAAGTTGTATAAGTGGGCCCAATTTTATCTAAATATATATGGAATTTAAATACAAACAGTTTGGGGTTTGGGAAGAGAGAGAGAATTTTAAACTCACTCTTCAGGGATTACAGGGGAATAATAAAATACTAGATAAGAGGAAGTGAGGTAAAAGAATAAATAGGGCAACAATGAAGCAAAAAGGTAAAGAACACCATGGAGGAAGAAAAGTACAAATGCAGAGACAGTAGAAGTCAAGGATAGAAAGTCCTAGTCAAGGAGATCTATGGGTCTTCATGACACAGATGCAGCAATGTGCAGAACGAGAGTTAGAGGGTAAAAAAGAGGAGAGAGAAGGAGAAAGGGGAAAAGGAGCCTAACAATGTGCTCAGCAGTGCAGAGAAAAGCTCATTTGATGCAAACATATTTTTATTCCCAAAGAGCAGTGCCCTGCACTCTGAAATTCAGAGCTCTGAGGCACCCTGAGCATGACCCCATCTAGGTAGAGTCAGGTCACTTTCAATTTTTCATCATGGTTGTGTTTCTCTCTTCAGTGTCCTTGAAGATTGTAGATCTACAAATGGATGAAGGAGGAAAATCAGAAGAAATGCCCGTGTTACTACCTTATGATGGAGAAGGTAATTAGGATTTAAGCACCTATTATCTAATGAAACTTTACTTTCCTGTAAACAGAGAAATGCCTATTTTTTCATCTCTTCCTATTCCCCCATCCACACATCCATCCATTCATCCATCCACAGTCACACATATAGACAGACTATGCCCAGCTTCTAGTCACTTCCTTTTAGAGACATAAACAGTGAAGAAAGGATGAGCTGAGAATGGCTGGAATTTCACTGGGTATAGGACACATACAAAGAAAGGGAGAATGAAAAATGTAGATGAGTCATTAAATGAAGGCAGACTGAAGTGTTGCCAGTTTCACCTAAATGAACTTGGAATCCAAGTATCACCAGGTGAGATGTGTTATCAGTAGAGAACACAATTTTCAAGCTATTTTCTCCAGCTTGTGCCAGGGCATAATGAGTGTAACTGCAAAATAGAAAATGCTTGAGAAAGACTTTTCAAATGGATGTGGCGAGGGGAAGGATACCTCTCTGTTCATCAATGGCAAAAAAAGAGAACTTTGATGACATGGGAGAATAAATATGTGAGATGAACAAAATATACAGGAAGGCTGAAATTTAAATTTTTTGATTTAACTTTTAGGTTGAAAAATTAGAAACAGAAAGTTAAGAATGAGAGAGAACAGACAGAAGCAGGAAAATGATCACCATAGTAGAAAGGAGACAAGCTCAATAATCACAGCACAGAATAAAAAGGTTGAGAACATGACATTAAGAGAGAAACCCACATAGGGAAGTGCTAAGAAATAGAAGAGTGGGGGAGAGCCATAGTTACACAAACAGAAAAAGATAAAGGAGAATGAGTGAAAAGTCAGTAGAAAGGGATTCCTGTGTATAAAGGATCAAGAAGATGGTTTGGGACATCGGAGAAAGCGAAGATGAGTCACTGCACAGAAACAACTTCTGACACTAGGAATGGTACCTGTTAGCCATGAGCTTTCAGATTATGGTGTCCTCAGTTATCAAAGTGGCACCTGTAATGTGCTCAGAGGCGATGAGCCTTCCCCCGCCATTCTTGTCTGCTCCCATGATAACTTAACAGTCCCCAAATTCCAAGCTCTGGCCCAGACTTGTCTTCTAAGCTCATTCTTCAAAGGGCCAGAATACATTTCTGCAGGGATCTAAAAGACATCTTCATTTAGATTTTTTTTCCAGGAACCTCAATACAAGATGCTTCTATAATTGCACATACCATCTTAACCCCAGATCTGCTTCCTTTCTGGTGTCTCCTATCTCAGTATGAAACACTGTTGTTCCATCCCTCAAGCATGCACCTAGGGGTTATCAGTGTCTTGTTCCTCTCCCTCAACTTACACACCCAATCAATCATTTAGTTTAGTCAGCTATACATTTAACATGTCCCACTTGTCCACTCCTTTCCACATCCAACACAAAAACTAGTCAGATCCCTCTTCTCTCTGGAACTAGAGCGATGGCCTTTAGTTTCATATCTTCACCCAATTTTGCATCCATTACATACATTTTCTCCAACTCAACTAGGTGACTCTTTGAAAATGCAACCTGACTTTACTTTCCTACCTTAAATCAACAACTTCTTGTTTTCATAAGGATTAAATCCATTTTCCTTCCCATGGGTCCAGTCTCACCCCTGCCTCTCCTGCAATCACTTCAAAACTTGGTATGAAACTTTGCAGGAATTTTAATTTTCTGGTTACTCTTTCTCATCTGAGCCTTTGCATGTGCTTAGCTCTGTGCCTAGGACAGTTTTCTTGGCCTACTCTGCCCTCCGTTCTGCTCACTAATCAGGTGAATTCATGTGCAAAGTGTGTACCATTTCAGAGATGCCTTTTCTGACCCGTAGTTTGAGAAAGCAGCAGGATGGGAGGAGACATAAAGCACAGCATCAGGAAGCAAAAGGGAAAATAGGGAAGTTGGGACAGATATCAGAAAAGAAACAAATCAGAACAAAGACAAGTACCAAGGAACACCAAATGCAGGATACAGAGATAGAAACAAAAGAAGCAGAGACATGTGGGAAGGGTGAACATGAGAAAGGTGTGGAATATAAGGAGTGCAAGGTTCCCGACAGTCTCCATCCGATTGTTGGATTGTGCAAGACCTTTAACCTTCACAAAACCTAAGCCACAGACACAAAAACTCATAACCTCTATTTTATGGATGAGGAAATAATGCACAGAAAGACATGCAAATCAGTTTTCAAGGGCAAAGTAGGAATGGAAAAATGGCACAAGTGTCCTGGATGTGTCACTGAGGGTGACAGTTGAGCAAAGCCAGCCCATGCATGGTAGGGTCCTGTGGTCAGAATAGAAATAGGAAGTCAAAGAGTCCCTGCAGGTTCCCAGGGAGTGAACCAGGGTCCAAGAGTATCATTTATGAAAAAAAAATAATGGTGGGGAGGGAAGGGGAACCACTGAGAGCCTAGGAATGACCCAACCACTTGTGCTAGGAGAGAGCTAGAATAAGAGCGCTAGACAGGATAACTGAAGAAATGATGGATTATCACTGAAAAAAACAAAAACTAAAAACAAGACCAAAAAACAAGCCAGGGAGAGAAGCCTAACAATGGGATCAGTGCACAGTGAAGAAACAGAAATGTGTGAATGCAAAGAGAAGGAAACGGAGGGGAAATAAGATGACAACAACAACAAAAAAGCAGAGCCAGATGGCGTGGCTTCTCAGGAGCAGTGCTTGGGGTACACATATCACTTTCTACCATGGTTGGCACAAACACGCTGACGTTTCTTTCTGATCACCCTCCCCGGTCCGCTATTTTCTTGTTTCTCTGCAGTGATCTGTGATTCTGAAGCTCTGCAAATGACTAATGAAGGGCTGGAGAAGATGCTTAGCCTTCTACCAGCTGAAGGAGAAGGTACCTATAATTTAAATTCCCAACCACCTCAATAAATGTTTGTTTTCTGGTCAGCAAAGGAAAAAAATCCACCTCTCCTCCCATCCTACCATTTTCTTCCTCATATTCACATACATACAGATAGGATTGCTTTGTTTTTTTCCAAACTGAGAGAGAGACAAAGGATACAGGTGAGCTGAGCTCCTAGGAGGAGATGGGATCCTCGCATGGAGAATGGAGGTAGACAGAATATGCCAAAGGCAGGCTGGGACACCTGGGAGTGCTGGGCGATTTTACTAAATGCATGCAAACATCCAGACATTTGCAGGTTATGGCAAATAAGGCAAGGAGAACATTCTCAGCCGACTTCCGGAAGTACCAGGAACACGGAAGTAAGTTTTATGAATGTTTGATAGGCTTGTAATTTAGAAAGGTCCTGTGGGGGACTGTTAGGATAGAGGTGATTAGCAAAGCCTCTGCGGCACTGTGGTCCATGTGAAATGGAAGAATTTTTATCAATTTGGGAGAAAGGACCTGTGAGGAAAATACATAAAATAATGAAAAATGTACAGGCATCCAGAAGGTTGAGTGGGAGAAATACAGATCAAACAAGAGAAAGTGAGAGACAAAGTAGAAAGAAATGAGGTACAGAGATAAAAGTTAGAGATTTATATATAGAGGCAAATAAATACCAAAAAATCATAATGTGAAAATAAGCACAAAGGAAACTATGTAGAGAAAGAGGTATCCAAATAATTTCAGAATCAATAAAGAGTGAACCCTGTTGCATAAGGAAGAGAGGAGAGAAGGTGGGATCCTGTAATGCTGAAGTGTGAGTCACTAGGCAGGAGCATCTCCCAGCGAAAGGGGTGTAGGTCACTATTGAGTTTTCAGGTTAAGGTCCCCCCAGGTAGAGAGTGGTGCCCATAATATACTCAGAGAACAGCACTCTTCTCTCTGGCTGCCTCCACCACTCTCAGGGAACAGAATGAGTGTCAAGGGCATGCTTGCTAGGCAGACGTGTGTCCCAAGGTCATCGATCTATGGTCTAATGACATTTATGCCAGGACCTTCTCCACTTGGATCTTTTTTAGGAACTGACGCTTTCCAAATGGAACCCAACTTTTCTTTTGTGAAAACAGGAACTCCTGCTTCTCCAGAGTTGACTCTCTTAGGAACGGGAATATGGACGTCCCATTCTCTGTTGCTCCCATCCCACTGATTTTCTGCACTTTAGCATGATTGTGATTTGCAAGATGTAAATCAGATCCTATTACTTTCCCACGTAAACCGAGGGACCTTCGTTGCCCTTGGATTCAATCAGTTATCCTTCCTGTAGCCTTCTTTGCCTTCCATTCACCATGGCACCCCAGCCATTTCTTCTGCCTCATCTCTAACGAGAGTATAAATGTTTTCAGGGGTTGCAATGCTCTGATCTCTCTTTTACAGGTGGGCCGTTGAGCAGCTTTTTTCTGTGTTTGGTGGTGTTGCCTTGGCCCACTGTGCTGCTTATCCCATTTCTTGATTAGGCTGTATTACACTGTTTCAAGGATGCCTTTCCTGATACCTACTATGAGAAAGGGGGCGAGGAGATAAGTGAGACGGGGAAAGGGGAAACAGAGCAGTGTCAGGAACTCAACATAAAAAGAGGCAGGAGCTGAGGAGACAGAAACACATTAAAACAAAGACAAGCATCTGGAGACAGTAGCAGCAGGAGGCAAGGGCAGAGACTGAAGTAAAGTACACGCGATGGGGAAGGGGAAGAAGTGAGTGGGATTAGGGGTACAGGGAGGGAGGAAGATGCTGCATGGTTCTCAGCCTCTGGTGGCAGTGACAGGAGTGAGTCAACCTGCAGGCCAGGTGAATGCCAAGGGCAGACCAGGACGGTCTGGGACCGGGACAGTCCCACCTAGGACATACCTGAGCTTCCCATGTCTTCACTATGTGTTTTCTTGCCAAGATTTCCCCATGGTTGTATAGTGAGACCCTCATGGATTTCAATTCTTTCTGCAGAGGACAGCAATACCTGTTTGGAGTACTGTGATCGAGAAGAACCCCAGGAACCCTTGAGCTCCCTACGAAGATGCGAGTCAGGTAAGGAAGGGGGTGATTACCAGCCCCGGGCTGAAGGGTGTTGGGAGGTGGAATCCAAAGCTGAACAGCCGGACCCCTAGTGTTAGAATCGATGGTTTCCCTCTTTGTATTGTAGTGGATAAATATCACAGAAAGATGGCATTATTTTTCTTTTATATCCTTTATGCTTATTTATACTGAAGACTCAATATTGTGATTCTAACTCCTGCCCACACCTTATTTTTTATAAAGAATAAAAGCTAAGTATTTATCTAGTGCTTAATAATAGCACTATAACGTTGTCATAACCTTGGTGAGGCTTCAAAAGCAACATGGTTCTGAGATCTACTTGTTAGAAGAAAGATCAATAACTCTCAAACCCAAATTACAGTTTTTGGCACATGTTCTTCTTCAGGTTATGAAATTACATAGCACCCTTTTCTTTCAAAGTACTTTGGTAAGTGAGATTTCCTCACAAAACTTTAGAACTTAGCCAGGGAAACGGTTGTTATCCCTCCTTAGAGATAAAGAAGTGGAAGCACAGAAAAATAGTATTTGTTTTTCCCTGAGATCAAAGTAGCAGGACGAGCAGACGCCATGTCCCAAGTTTCTCACTGCAGGTGGTGGCTGTGTGAGGCTAGCAGGAGTCAGTGTGGTGACAAATCAGGGTCCAAAGGGAGACCTGCAGGCTCCCAGAGGAATGAGAACAGGGACTGTTGCAGAGACACTTCGACTTAACAAATAAAGAATGTCAGTAGGGAGGGGAAGAAATCCAGAGAGACAGGGAGAGAACAACTGGACCCTGGTGTAGGGACTGGAGGCATCTGGGAGAACAGAGTTAGAATAAGCAGAAAAGAAGAGATCAAGGTCACCATTGAGGGAAGAAAAGACAGAAAAGTAAAGAGATAGGAGAAGTCAAGGAGAGTGGAGCCCACAAAATCAAAGATGCATGAAGATTGTCCTGGTGCAGAAGCAGAAATGTTAGGAGGCAGGTCTGTAGGTAACTGAGAAGCAGAGAGCAGGAATGTGAGGTGAATGAGATGGAAACAGAGACAGACAGGACCTGGTTGGATCTGAGGTGAGGTGCTTGGAGCAGATGTGCTATTTCCCAAAGGGCAGCTCACCTGTGCTCTGGACAGTCTGGTTCAGCTCATTTGCTTGATTCTCTTCAGTGTCCGGTGATTGTGAAAGTCCCCAAATGACCAAAGAACCAGAGGAGATGCCTGGCCAACAACTATGTGATGGAGAAGGTAATTGTGATTTAAATTCCCATTTAATGAATTCAATCTTCTTTTTTTTTTTATCTACAGGGAGGAAAATCGCCCCCTTTTTCTCCCCTCTGATGCTGTTTCCCTTCTCATACCCAGAAAGAAAAAAATACATAGAGCTGAGAGGAAAGGATCAACAATAGAGCAAGAATTAGGTGTAAGGGATGGGTTACTTATGAGATGGGTTAACTGTTCTCATGCTCTCATGATAATGACAGGAGCCATGTTAAGTCAGGTGAACACAAGACCAGGAGGTCTGAAGGCAGGGACATTTCCACTGGGGACATGTGATCAGCCTTGTTCTTCCTGTTTGTCTCAGGGTTGGCTTCCTGCTTATCTGGTTTATTGCCTCCAGATTTTGAATCAGGCATAGTATAGGTATACTAACGTTCTCATCAAGTAAAAACTGATCACCTGTTACAGAATTTTCCAGGCATTCTGAAGTTAGTCCTTGTTTAGTACATTTAATCTGATAATTTCATTTGTAAAATAGATCCCTACCTATTAATTATGTAGGTTTTATTATTATTTTTTCTTTAAGAAAAAAAATGTTAGATAATGGTATGAAAGTAACAGTTACTGGTTGGCAAATGGTAACTTTGGGGCATTTTCTCTCTTCTTTTATAGAAATACCATAAAATGTATTATATACTTTAGACATGACAGAAGGTTCCCCATGGAAACCAAAAGTCATCTTTCATGAGGTTTTGTCATTTATTAAGTGCAAGAGTTAAAATCATACTGAGAGTACAAAGAGGAAGTAGAGTTCTGCCAGTGGGAGATTGAAGCTTTGGCAAAGGCAAGCCCATGACAAACAGCAAAGAGGCCACAACACTCAGCCATAGGAGTGAGTGGTGTCCTGCATGTGAATGGAGTATGGGGTTCATCCACCAAGAAGAGACTAAAATGTAGACATGTGATCAATTACATGGTAATAGGTGACCTCAGATTGTGTGCTAAACAAAAGGATTTTCTTTCACAAATTAACAAACTGTGAAGTCCCTTTGTGAAGGTTTTGGTCAGGTATTCAAGACAAAGTGTGACCAAATATTTTTGCACAAATTGGCTCCTGCCTAATGGACACACACCCATTAATTCATTTTGGGGGCTTGCGTGGATACGGGACTTATCAGGTCTATGCCTCATCCATTTGCCTTGGATCACTTTCTTCTTACATTCAGAAAGCACAGAAAAATCAGAAAAAACACACACATGAGACTATGCTGTCTAAAAATAGATAAAAGAGAGTGAGAGTAAATGCAGTCGTGGAAGAATAAGCCCATTAACAGGATATTTGCTAAATGCTGCACCTCCAAAGCAAGTGTCAGACTCCTTTGTATCTAACTGCACACACACATATTTAAATAATAAGATAACTTCAGGGCTAAGAGCTCATGAAGCACATCAGAACTCACATTGTTGCTGAGACAGATTCACTTGGCAGTGGATCAGGAAGGCAATCTGAGTTGGGCACAAGAGGTCGGCAATTTACACCTTTGGTCAAGGGGTTGCACAGGACCTTCCTAAGCAAGAGTCTTCAAGATGATCTTGGTGGAAACTCCGTCTTGAAGGAATTGCCCATGACGCAGTATCTGAAGTTAAAACAGGAATTTGTGGCTTACTTACTTATGGTGGGAGGAGGCACCATACTTGTTGGACACAATTTCTTTAAAAATTGAAACTACTGATTTGATATAGAGTTTTGGAAAGCATGTGATTCAGGGACTGCAGACTTTCAGAAACAGGAGTGACTGTGAATAGGCTCCATTTAGCCATAGGCACAGGCTTTCTGGGGCGTGGCTGTTGCGGATTGGCTGATTTTCAGAAGTGTAAGGCTGTGTCTGATTAGCAGCCTTTTAAGCGAGGTTAGTGATGTCAGTAGTCATTGGCCAATTGGGATGAGTTTTAAAATGGTTCTGCTAGTTCCTTTTTACAGTATTTAAAGAGCAGGTAGTTTGTTCCTGGAAGAATCAGGTCTGTGTATTGCATTCTTAGGGCTACAAGGAGAAAAATGAAAGTAGAGGAAGTAGAATGAGGCAGAAAAGATGGGAAAAGCATGGCCCTGGAGGACCTCAGGTGGGATTATTGGAGCAGGTATATTTTTCTGAGGAAGCAGTTCATTGTAGCTCAGAGTACAAAGGCGCAGCAAGAGTGCACCAGGAAATTTCCCTAAATCACTGTCTCAGGATCCACGGACAGTAATTTTCTTGTTTCTCTTTAGTGTCTGGTGAACCAGAGGCTGTACAATTGAATACAGAAGGAGATTCACAAGCGCAGACCTCCAGCCTACTACCCTGTGATGGACAAGGTAACTATGACTTAACAAATAATAAAGACAGAATCAGAGTTCTGATAAAGAGAAAAAGACAAGAGAGGAAAACAGGGAGACTCACAGGAAGAGTCGGATATGGAAGATCAGTGAAACATTTCAGAGGAAGAAGTGGAAAACGAGATCAACAAAGTCACAGAATGAGGATCATATAGGCAAATGATAGGTCTTCATAAATCATAATTTTGGCCCAGCATGTGGTAATGAGATGTATTTTTGTGTACATGCTTCTCAGAAGATGTGCCAGGAGGTTCGGAAGCAAGGCCTGAAAGTAGCCAAGCATGTGACACAATAGATAAAGTTTTGTGAGAGTCAGGGGATGGGGGTGGAGTCACAGGTGCCACAAACCCCAGGTAGGGTGGTGGCAGGTGGTCCAGGCCTTCCCACTATCCCAGGGATCGGCAAACTTTTGAGATGGGAGATCCAATCCTGTCCCTCACAACAGTTTAAAAGCAATTTAAAGACCTATAAAAGAAATGAAATCTCCATTATGTGAATAATATCCTTTAAAAATTTTATAAATGAAACTATGGTAGTTTTATTTTCATTTTCAATTTTACTTCAGAGCCACACCTACATCCCCAAAGAGCCGCATGTGGCCCGCGAGCCGCAGTTTGCCGACCCCTGCACTGTCCTTTTTCTGCCTTACTCTTTGTGGCCCTTTTGGGAATAGCAGCGGGGGCAAGAGATTATTATGAAGTCATGTTAATGGATCCACCCTATTGATTATGTATTAATGATGTAGGAGAAATCCACTCTTAAAATGGCAGTGTTGGGTTTACTCTATTAGAATATTAGTAATAAAACTTGTACTTATACAGTGATTTCCACCGTTGTCACACCCAACACTTCTTGGAATCTGAAAAAAGTCTAAGTGTACCTCTGCTAGTCATTTTTGTCACAACCTTAGCAAGGCCTCAAAACACAAGTGATCCTGCCACTTAATTGTCAGTAGGGGAGACTTCAGATCAGGTACTCTTAACCTAGCATGTAGGTTTGGTGGATGTCCTCCAGAATGTC